GTCCGAGTTTGAATAATGCTGGTGATTGAAGTAACTAGGAACAAAATAATATAGATCTGTGTTAAAAAAAACAAAACAACAACCTTAGTTTGAGGTCACTTTAAATTTAAAGTGGTTATGTTACATCTAAACCTCAATAAGTTGCACTGCAGGATGCTTAAGAAAAAAATAGTAAACATCAATAACTGGTTTTCTCAATATCAGTACAAAGAAAAAACATCCCAATGTACTAAGAAGAAAACAATCACAAAACACAGGTCATAGAAGAAGCAAAACTATCTATAGAACTCCAAAAAGCACCTGTCTTATCCGTTTCTGTTAATAATACAGAGAGAACACTATTTTTTCTTTTGTAAATCAATATGCCCAAAGCCTGCCTATCCCATCCAACTATGCTCTCATTCCATTCATCCCACAGCCCATGGCTGCCTGCTCCTCCTCTTCTGCAGGTGTTCAAAACTAGCTGCATTTTGAGAGCTAGGTAATTTGTTATACCCTAATGCTGTGTTCAAGTGCCCAAAGATAGACCCATTCCCTGTGGAAATCATACTATGGCCTTTATATAACAGACATGCAACAACACGCCGTCAAACCAAATGATTCTCTCCTGGAATGCTTTTAAGAGCTGTCAGTGCAATGTCTAAAACAAAGAACCTTAAAGATGATTCATGTCGACAGCTTGTATCAAAGTATACATTTTCACCAATGAACCAAAACAGTATTTTTTGGTTTTAAACACAAGCAAATGTTGAGCTTAGACCTAAAAATGTGAAATATGGATTGGGCATTCAAATTTAGAGATAAAATACTCATGAACTAGTTATCCATGTAGTAGCTCTTTTCTTTTAGCACAGGATTTGAGTTGAATAAAAAACTCTCTCTATAACAAACTGCAATCACCGAACAAAATGTGATGCAGCACATCAACTGAAATCAAGAAGGGAATACATAATATTCCCTGCATTTTTCTTCTTTTGTTGTAAAGTTCGAAATAGGCCAAGTGGAAATTAACCTGGGGTGTCTCTTAGCTCCCCCACAAACCATACACTACACTGGCCAAAATTTTTTAAAAGCTACTGAAGTAGAAAGAAAATAACAATAACAATAAATTGTCACAGTATTCATTTTTAAGAACAGCTTTAAAATATTTTTATTTTCCTAAGACAGATGCTCAGCATTTCATTCAAAAACACTTACTGGCCAGGCGCAGTGACTCACCCTGTAATCCTAGCACCCTGGGAGGCCAGGGTGGGCGAATCATTTGAGCTCAGGAGTTCAAGACCAGCCTGAACAAGAGCGAGAAACCGTCTCTACCAAAAATAGAAAAAATTAGCCAGGCATGGTGACACATGCCTGTAGTCCCAGCTACTTGGGAGGCTGAGGCAGGAGGATCGCTTGAGCCCAGGAGTTTGAGGTTGCTGTGAGCTAGGCTGACGCCATGGCACTCTAGCCTGAACAACAAAGTGAGACTCTGTCTCAAAGGAAAAAAAAAAAGAAAAGGAAAAAACACTGACCAAGCATCTAAACCGAATACATTCCATATTATAACGAATATTAATTAAATTTACACTTTTTAAAATTAACTCAAAGCCTAAGATACATGGTTGTTAAAAAGCAATAATGTGCCCTATATTTCATGAACAGTACTCTCACTGCTAAATCACTATTGAATAAATCACAACAAACGTAGCTTAACAAACATTGCTAGAATCAAAGAAAGAGGCTGGGTGCAGTGGCTCACACCTGTAATCCTAGCACTTAGGGAGGCTGAGGCAGGAGTATCATTTGAGGCCAGGAGTTTGCGACCAGCCTGGGCAACATAGCAAGACCCTGTCCCCACAAAATTTTTTTTTTAAATTAGCTGGGTGTGGTGGCACGTGCCTGTAGTCCCAGCTACCCAGGCAACTGAAGTAGGATCACTTGAGCCCAGGAGTTAGAAGTTGCAGTGAGCTATGATGACACCACAGTACTCTAGTTGAGGCAACAGAGCAAGACCGTGTCTCAATCAATCGATCAATAAAATATGAAAGAACTACTAAAGAATTACTACAACGAAAAAAATTCAATAGAGAAGTGGGCAAATGACACGAACCCATGGTATTTCACAGACAAGGAAATATAAATGGCTCATAAACATAAAAAGAGGCTAAAGCTCCTTAGTGTTCACAGAAATGCAAATTAAATCCACAATGAATTATCAATTTATACCCATAAGTAACGAAAAATTAATAACTCTCTAAATATTATACAAAGTGGCATCCTGTTTTGGTTTTTTGTTTCTTATTTTTTTTTTTTTTTGAGACAGAGTCTCACTCTATTGCCCGGGCTAGAGTGCTGTGGCATCAGACTCGCTCATAGCAATCTCAAACTCCTGGGCTCAAAGCGATCCTTCTGTCTCAGCCTCCCAAGTAGCTGGGACTACAAGCATATGCCACCATGCCCAGCAAACTTTTTCTATATATTTTTAGTTGGCCAATTAATTTCTTTCTGGTTTCGAACTCCTGACCTTGAGCAATCCACCTGCCTCAGCCTCTCAGAGTGCTAGGATTACAGGTGTGAGCCACCACACGCAGCCCAAAGTGATATCCTGGATTAGATCCTGGAAGAGAAAAACGACATTACTGTAAAATCGATATAAAGTCTGCAGTTTAATTTAATGTATAAATATTAATCTCTTGGTTTTGAAAAAGGTATGGTTATGAAGGATGTGAACACTAGGAGAAACTGGGTGAAAAGTATATGAGAGCTCTTGGTTTTATCTTTATAAATTTTATGTAAATCCAAAATTATTTCAAAATAAACTTATTTTAATAATGATTTAAAAATTAATAACTTACAATACTAACTATTGAGGAAGATGTAGAACAACAAACACTCATATTGTTGACAGACTATAAACTGGAAAACCACAGTGGAAAATGCTTTGGCATTATTCTATAAATTAGAACAAACCTTTTTTTTTTTTGAGACACAATCTCGCTTTGTTGCCCCAGCAGTGGCGTCATCATAGCTCACAGCAACCTCAAACTCGAGGGTTCAAGTAATTCTCCTGCTTCAGTCTCCCGAGTAGCCGGGACTAAAGGCATGCGCACCACAAAGCCCCACTAATTTTTCTAATTTTAGTAGAGACGAGGTCTCACTCTTGCTCAGGTTGGTCTCAAACTCCTGACCTCAAGCAATCCTCCTGCCTCAGACTCCCAAAGTACTAGGATTATAGGTGTCGGCCATGGCACCTAGAACATATCTGTACTCTATGAACCAAAAATTCTATTCTGAAGTGTAAATCCACAGAAACTCTTCCACATATGTAGAATGTTTATGACAGTGATGTTTGTAATAGCAAAAAAGTAGAATTGTCCACTGACAAGATTTTAGATAGGTAAACTATGGTATATTTACACAATGAAATATTAAACTCCACCCAATGAATCAATCTAGAGCATGCATGCATTCTCAGGGGGGACACTAGTAAGGGTGAAAAGTTAGTCAAAGCAACGGGGAAATCTTAGATACTTTAATAGTGTGTGGAGCTCCAAATGGCCACACTACATAAACAAACATATTAAAATTTTCATGGGGGAAGGAAGGAGATGACTAGGGGATAAAAATAATGTCTAGTAAATATATTTAGCAAAGTGATATTGAAAAGAAGGTTGAGAAAAAATGACCTAGGTGTATCACAAACATATAACATTGAGTGAAAAAAGCAAGTTACAGGCCGGGCGCGGTGGCTCACGCCTGTAATCCTAGCACTCTGGGAGGCCGAGGCGGGCGGATTGCTCAAGGTCAGGAGTTCAAAACCAGCCTGAGCAAGAGCGAGACCCCGTCTCTACTATAAATAGAAAGAAATTAATTGGCCAACTAATATATATAGAAAAAATTAGCCGGGCATGGTGGCGCATGCCTATAGTCCCAGCTACTTGGAAGGCTGAGATAGAAGGATTGCTTGATCCCAGGAGTTTGAGGTTGCTGTGAGCAAGGCTGATGCCACCGCACTCTAGCCAGGGCAACAGAGAGAGACTGTATCAAAAAAAAAAAAAAAAATTCAGAATTGGACTTACCCCTGTGAAGTGGATAGGAGCATATATAAATCTATGAGGGGAAAAAAAGGTGATTCAAAAGTGCTAGGTATGGGCCTGGCGCAGTGGCTCACGCCTGTAATCTTAGCACTCTGGGAGGCTGAGGCGGGCAGATTGCTCAAGGTCAGGAGTTCGAAACCAGCCTGAGCAAGAACCAGATCCATCTCTATTAAAAAATAGAAAGAAATTAATTGGCCAACTAAAAATATATACAAAAAATTACCCAGGCAGGCATGGTGGTGCATGCCTATAGTCCCCAGCTACTTGGGAGGCTGAGGCAGGAGGACTGCTTGAGCCCAGGAGTCTGAAATTACTGTAAGCTAGGCTGATGCCACGGCACTCTAGCCAGGGCAACAGAGTGAGACTTTGTCTCAAAAAAAAAAAGAGTGCTAGATACGGTCTTTTCTTAGACTGGGAAAGTAGATATATAGGTGTTCATTTTATTGTTCCTCATCCTTTAGTTATTTACATATTTTTATTTTTTAAATTTTTAATTATTATGGGAACATAAGAGTTGTGTATCTTCATATATTTTTGATAGTATAGGATGTTTCATAATTAAGAACTATTTAAAAGTACTACGTATCAATTTACTGTTAGTAAACTCTTAGCTTTACTTAAACTGTATTAGCAGCCTTTCCATTAGTCATCATCCAATACTTTTATTAGTATAAAAACCTAGGCTGTTAAAAACAACAAAAGACTTAGCCAGGTGCAGTGCTGCACACCTGTACTCTCAGCTACTCAGGAGGCTGAAACAGGAGGATGGCTTGAGCCCAGAAGTTTAAGGCTATAAGTGTGCCATGATTGTGCCTGTGAATAGCCACTGCATTCCAGCCTGGGCAACAAAACAACAACAACAAAAAACAACAGCCTACTTACTTTTCAGAGAAAAGATTTTTAATACTTAACAGCTCATACCCAGCCGCCTTGCTGAATGATGTACTCTGCCGCGTAGTCCTCCAGATATGTCACACCAAATTGCAGCAGTGCACTCAAAGGCTCTTGACCATATCTTGCCAACTCCAAAAGCATTTGTCGTAGCAAAACCAGAGGCACCAAAATCTTCAATGCATAGATGAGAGAATAAAAAAAACCAAACTGAAATTCTCATAATGCATTTTATATGTTCAACTACTAGAAAATTATACTCAGATGAACACCATGGTATTTCATTTTCATTATGAAAAAGGACATAAAATGCCAACTCTTATTAGGATTTTCCTGAATATTGCATGTAGGTTTTATAAATAGGGTGGTCGAAATAGTTCTTTTTTTTTCCCGCTTTGTTGCCCAGGCTAGAGTGAGTGCCGTGCCATCAGCCTAGCTCACAGCAACCTCAAACTCCTGGGCTAAAGCAATCCTGCTGCCTCAGTCTCCCGAGTAACTGGGACTACAGGCATGTGCCACCATGCCCGGCTAATTTTTTTTTTCTATATATATTAGTTGGCCAATTAATTTCTTTCTATGGAAAAGACAGACGCGCCCCGCTCTTGCTCAGGCTGGTTTCGAACTCCTGACCTCGAGCAATCCGCCCGCCTCGGCCTCCCAAAGTGCTAGGATTATAGGTGTGAGCCACCGCGTCCGGCCCAAAATAGTTATTGAAAATAATTGGGGGCCGGGCGTGGTGGCTCACGCCTGTAATCCTAGCACTCTGGGAGGCCGAGACGGGCGGATTGCTCGAGGTCAGGAGTTCGAAACCAGCCTGAGCAAGAGCGAGACCCCGTCTCTACTATAAATAGAAAGAAATTAATTGGCCAACTAATATATATAGAAAAAATTAGCCGGGCATGGTGGCGCATGCCTATAGTCCCAGCTACTCGGGAGGCTGAAACAGGAGGATGGCTTAAGCCTAGGAGTTTGAGGTTGCTGTGAGCTAGGCTGACGCCACAGCACTCTAGCCTGGGCAACAGACTCTGTTTCAAAAAAATAAAATAAGGCCGGGCGCGGTGGCTCACGCCTGTAATCCTAGCACTTTGGGAGGCCGAGACGGGCGGATTGCTCGAGGTCAGGAGTTCGAAACCAGCCTGAGCAAAAGCGAGACCCCGTCTCTACTATAAATAGAAAGAAATTAATTGGCCAACTAATATATATAGAAAAAAAAAATTAGCCGGGCATGGTGGCTCGTGCCTGTAGTCCTAGCTACTCGGGAGGCTGAGGCAGGAGGATCGCTTGAGCCCAGGAGTTTGAAGTTGCTGTGAGCTAGGCTGACGCCACGGCATTCACTCTAGCCTGGGCAACAAAGTGAGACTCTGTCTCAAAAAAAATAAAATAAAATAAAATAAAATAAAATAAAATAAAATAAATAATTGGGCATGTGTGTGTAAAATAATTTATGTATAAGGAAATGTACTGAAGGATTATTTATAATAGCAAAAAACTAGAACAACCCAATGAGGATCAGTTAAATAAATTTTAGTTATCCAGTAAAATATATAGCTGTTAAAAAGAATTAGATTATTCACTACCCAATCACCAAGATTTACTTTAAGTGAAAAAAAGCAAGATATAGCACAGCATGTACAACACAGTGCCATTTATGTAAAAAACATACACATGTATATATTAATTTAGTCCTAATAATATCTCTGGGAAAAACCACAGGAAATTGGTAATAATGGTTGCCTAAGAGAAGGGGAACTAGGTGACTGGCAACAAAAGAGAAAACTGTTATTTTTCAAAGCATATCTTTCTGTACTTGTTGCATTTTGTACCATGTACTTTTATTATCTCTTTGAAAATAAGACCTTTTTAAAATTATGAGCTATCTTGTAAAGATCATCAAAAGTCAACTATAAAAGACACATTATAATCTATACCTAATAACCCTGTGGCTCAATATTTGAGTCATCAAAATTTACAACAGAAACTAAGTATAGAGTGCCTTGCCTTCCTTAAAAAAAATTACATATTGCATATTGAAAAAAACTAAGTGTTCCAGCTATCTGTCTGCAAACAATCTCTTTTGTCTAAAACATCAAGAAGTCTCAACATGACTGGAAAAGGAATGCAGAAGGAAATGAAACCAATTCCAATTTGTTGTTATTGGATTGCAAAGGAAATAACTAAGGATAACAAAATATTTCTGCAGAAGAGAACAAACAAAAAAACAATTGAGTTTATATTTCATACTAATATTCTTTGGCTTTTAAGTAAAAGCAGCCTCGAGGGAGTCTATATCAAAGTTTGAAAGAAAGAATGCAACAAAAACACATATTTTTACTTTTTGACATTCTAAAAGAGCTCCAGCCTAAAATATATGGAAATCCTCCCCTTGGAGGATCCACCCCTTGGAGGGGTGTACGTCATAAAGAAGAATACATTAGGCTTTTTCCACAATAAGAGAGCCTACTATACTATTAAAAAAAATTATTCATATTTTGCCGTGGGCAGAAACAAGTAAAGAATGGCTTGTGAATAAACCTTGCTAATTCATACAAAATCAACTTCAAAGGCCTGGATGTTCTGTACCAAAACATTCTAAATTCCTATAATAATCCACAATAATATAACATTCTAGAGTTATTCATGTTTAAGCTTTGTTAACGCAGGGAAATGAGTTGCAAACATTTTATACTTGCTATAAAATGACACTTCCTGGCTGGGTGTGGTGGTTCACACCTGTAATCCTAGCACCCTGGGAGGCTGAGGCATGACAATCATGTGTGACTCTGTCTCAATCAATCAGTCAGTCAGTCAGTAACACTTCCTGTTATTTGTTCCAAATTTACTCCCTTCATCAAACAGTAGATACCCTAGTTTTACTGTATGAAAACCTAGAGACAAATCTGCAATCCTCTTTTACTCATGTCTTAACCTTAGTCCTTGATCATATTCACCATGCCTTCAGGCTGAAATCTACCAATCTTGTAGTCTGTTTTTCACACGGCAATTGCTCTGTTGCTTTGATCATTTAAGTTATCCTTTTCTTGATTATCCCCATTCCAATTAGATGTTTCTTGAAATGCAGTAACCACGTGCAGAAACTTCATTTTATAGAACTAACATTTTCTGTTTGGTTGATAATACTCTTCTTGGTGGTACAAATAATGTCAGATGATTCATCTTTCCCCCTCATTCCTCAGACAATTATTAAATGACTACTCCATACTAGGCTTACCTATTTGACATGCTATCTTCAGGAACCTATAAGATGACTTTCAGGGCCACTATCTTTTAAGTAAGTTTAGATTGCCTTTAAGTGGTTAAACCCACTTGCTCACACACAAAGCTTCATGAGTTAATTCTACAACTGACCTTCATCAACTTGACATTTTACTACCCACAAGTATTTTATATAATCTGTACATCCGCTGTTTTTACACTTCCCTCTCCCATATTATTTTTTAAAAAATATTAAAACAAAACTGGATCCCCACACATCTACTCCTAGAAGGTTCCACTATTTAAATTTCTATGTCTAAAAAGTAATCACACAGTCTTACCCTTTGATTCTTTCTCTAAGTCATCATTTCTTTACTGGACAATGGTAATTCCCATATCATATATGAATTATTATTTTTTTCAATTGATTTTGCACTGGAATACTAAGGTACTATAAACCATCAAAAAGGAATACTTCCACTGGCTTTCCTTTATCCACATACTTATTTAAGTCTTGTGACATCTCCTTATATCCACTTGGTGGCCTCATCCTCCAATAGGTTAGACTTACTTAAATTTAATAATGTTATCCTTTTATTAAAGAATATATGAGCTTGCCTGATATAGAAATGAAGCACACTAATTTATACTCTTAGGGATATTTGTGATGATAATTACGTATTTTGGTACATCAATCTACTATTTAACCCTTCTGTGCCTTAATAATTCTAGTAGTATCACATTTTGCAAATTTTGCACCTAATTCATTAATTAGGTTTTATTTTCTTTGACCTGTTTGCTTCAAAATAGCAAACAATTTAAGAGACAATTTAACAATTTAAGAGACAACCAGACATTATGTGTCACCCAGTGTGATGTAATAGGATGTAAATAAAACCACCAATGAAGTATTCTTGCCAAAAAGATTGAACCTAAATCTGATCAGGAAGGAAATACAGACACAGAAGAATATGTTAAGTGACATCTCAAGAGAAGTAGTCAATAAAATCCAGAAAGTAAGAATTTTAAAGAAAAAAAATCTTAAGTAAACTAGAGAAAGAGAAAGAATAGGGAGTATAAGTCTATATAATAAAAGAAAGTTAAGTTACAATTATTCATTCCATTTATATGAAATGTCCAGAATAGACAAGTTCATACAGACAGAAAGTAGAAGAACTGTTGCCAGGGGCTGGGAGGAGTATGAAATAGGGAGTGACCACTAATAGGTATGGGGTTTCTTTTTGGCATGATGAAAATGTTCTGGAATTAGATAGTACTGATAGTTGTACAACTTTGTGGATATACTAAAAACCTGTGAATTGTATACATTAGGTAAATTTTATCATATGTGAACTATATTTCAATTTTTAAAAAGGAAGGACTTAGAAATATATCAACCAAAGGTAATACATGATCCTTGTTTGGATCTTGATTCAAAAAAACCAACTTTAAAAAATACATTTATGGCTGGGCTGGCGGTGTGTGTCTATAGTCCCAGTTACTCGAAAGGCTGAGGCAGGGGGATCACTTGAGTCTAGGAGTTCGGCCTGGACAACACAGAGAGACCTCATCTCTAAGAAAAAAATAATAATAAAATTTTAAAACTTAAAAAAATAGTTATCAGTCAAGGCGCGGTGACTCACACCTGTAATCCTAGCACTCTGGGAGGCCGAGCCAGGAGGATTGCTCGAGGTCAGGAGTTTGAGACCAGCCTGAGCAAGAGCGAGACCCTGTCTCTACTAAAAATAGAAAGAAATTAGCTGGGAAACTAAAAATATATATAGAAAAAATTAGCCAGGGATGGTGGCGCATGCCTGTAGTCCCAGCTACTCAGGAGGCTGAGGCAGAAAGATTGCTTGAGCCCAGAAGTTTGAGGTTGCTGTGAGCTAGGCTGACGCCACGGCACTGTAGACTGGGCAACAGAGCAAGACTTTGTCTCAGAAAACAAACAAACAAACATTTAACAGACAATTGGGGAAATCTGAATAGATTATGATTTGAGTAGATTATGTGATAATATTAAAAAATTGGTATTGATATTTTTAGGTGTGATAATGGTATAATCAGTAGGTTTTTTTTTTTTTACAGAGTGAGTGCCGTGGCGTCAGCCTAGCTCACAGCAACCTCAAACTCCCTGGGCTGCGATCCTTCTGCCTCAGCCTCCCAAGTAGCTGGGACTACAGGCATGCGCCACCATGCCCGGCTAATTTTTTATATACATATCAGTTGGCCAATTAATTTCTTTCTATTTAAAGTAGAGACGGGGTCTCGCTCTTGCTCAGGCTGGTTTCGAACTCCTGACCTCGAGCAATCCTCCCACCTCGGCCTCCCAGAATGCTAGGATTACATGTGTGAGCCACCGTGCCTGGCCACTAATGTATTTTTAAATAAAATATATCTAGTATCTGCTTCAAAATAATCTGGAAGGAGAGAAGGAATGTGTGAAGAAATAGATGAAACAAGATCAGCTAAATATTGATAATTATTAAAGTTGAGTAATGGATACATGGGTTTATTACACTATTCTCTGTGCTTTTGTACATGCTTGAAATTTTAATAAGAGACTTGAAAAGATGAGAGATTAATATTTCAAGAAAAATTAACCCAAGAGGTCTGCACAGGACTGTCTCCTGGCCCTAACCCAGGTAGTGGGGGGTCTGCAACCTGCTCATGGCCCTCACAGCAGGTCCCTGTGTACTGACATATCTGCATAATCAATAAAGCCTTTTGCTCCTTAAAAAAATTAACAAACGAATTCACTTATCTTTGCTATTTATTTTTCTAAAACCTATTACACTGTAAACATCATGTAGTAACACTAACATTCTAACTGTTTTTTCCTCTTTGGTAGTCATTTTCTTCTCTTTTCTATAAGCAGATAAGGACATAGGAAAAAATAATATCCATGAGAAAAAAGAAAATCACCTACAATTCTGAGATAACTACTATATATTTTGTACTTTTTTTTGAGACAAGGTCTTCCTCTGGTGCCCGGCTGGAGTACAGTGGAGTCATCAATAGCTCACTGTAACTTCAAATTCCTGGGTTCAAGTGATCTTCCTGCCTCAGCCTCATGAGTAGCTGAAACTACACACAGGCATGTGCCACTACACCCTGATAGGGTTTATTGTTGTTGTTGTGTTTTTGCAGAGACGGGGTCCTAATATTGCCCATGCTAGTCTCAGACACTCCTGCCCTCAAGTAATCCTCCTGCTTTGGCCTTCCAAAGTGCTAGGATTATAGGGGTAAGCCTGACCACTACTATGTATTTTGGCACATATCATTTTAGTTCTTTTTCTAGGCATATATATTCTATATATGCTACAGTTATCTATGTACATTTTTTTAACAAAAATATCATATTGTTAATACAGGTTTGTGACCAGTTTTTTTTCCTACTCTTTTTGGGATATATTTCAAGAGTATTTTACCCAGATGGCTTTAAAATCCCTTTACTAATGAACTGATAATTAGTTTGCCCCCAAACCTGGCATGCTTTGTGGACATTTTTTTTTCTTTTTTCTCTGACAGGTGTTTCATTTGAGCCTCATTTACTTCACAGCAAGATACATATGAATAATATCATCTCAGAATTTTGCAAACATTCATGCAAAATGTAAAATATGAACTAATTACTTCACATGAGCCAATCTGATTTTGATTGTGGTGGTAGGGGTATGGAGATTTTAATGACTTGTGATCAAAAGCCAGGTTCTTTTCAGCCCTCGAGGACTTGGAAGGAGAGTAATACTGGATTCAGCAGAAGAAGTAATATTCTAACTGGCATGCTTCATTTATGGGAGGTATTCAAGCCACTGCCTTGGAGGTCAACAGGTGGCTCCCTGATCCAGATGAGGAACTAAAATGAAACAGGAAAGGGTGTGGTATGGAAAGGGTGAAAAGGGATAGTAAAGACTGTGGTTTACTCAGTTTTTTTAGCATGGCGGGGTGCATACAAGAATTGACTACTGCCTGTAATCCTAGCACTCTGGGAGGCTGAGGTAGGTGGATTGCTTGGGGTCAGGAGTTTGGGGCCAGCCTAAGCAAGAGTGAGACCCTGTCTCTACTATAAATAGAAACAAATTAATTGGCCAACTAATATATATAGAAAAAATTAGCCGGGCATGGTGGCGCATGCCTGTAGTCCCAGCTACTCAGGAGGCTGAGGCAGCAGGATTGCTTGAGCCCAGGAGTTTGAGGTTGCTGTGAGCTAGGCTGATGCCACGGCACTCACTCTAGCCTGGGCAACAAAAGGAGACTCTGTCTCAAAAAAAAAAAAGTTGACTATAGCAGTCACTAGACAAGAATGACAGAAAGAGAACATAAAACAGGGGAAGAAGGCTAGTAATACTAGGTACCTAAGTATTTGATGTTTGATATACTAATAAATATATCATAACCAAACTCATGTTTTATTTATAAAATCTATTTCAAATATCTACCTGAGAGAATATTTTCTTTTTTTTCCAAAAATGAGGCAAACAGATATTTTAACAAATTATGTACCAATAAGTAACATACTAAAACTGATTACAATAATGACTATTTGGGAACAAGATCCCATATGTTAAAGCTAATATAATAGCTGTTGTTTGCTGAGTGCTTACTATAGTGGCAGACAATGTGTTAAATAAGTATTTAACATATATTATCTCATTTAATTCTAATAAAACTTATGAGGTTAATACTATTTTTTCCATTTGATTTTTTTTAAGTCCCCGCCCTGCCTATTTTTTCCATTTCACAGATGAGAAAACTAAGATTTAGAAAGCTTAATTAACCTGCCCAAAGACATACATCTCGTTCATGGCAAAGCTAAGGTTTAAACACACACACACACACACACACACACACGCACACACACACACACACACAAAATTAGGTACATAAGGTCACATGGTCTGACCCATACTGTAATAGTTCTAAGTAGAGAAGGCTATTTGTAAAAGTAATTTTACTGACTTTTCTCATCCCCAACACTAGATCACTCAGGGCCACACTTCTTGCTCAAATTGAGCTGATCCACCCTATACTGCATGCCCTTAGCCTCCACCTTTTCAAGGTGACAAGTAGATAATACAGTCTAAGATAATGGATAAGCAGTATGGTACAGGGGGAAAAAAACTGAAGCTAGAATCAGATATTAGCTCTAGTGTTGGTTTCAATATTTAAAAGTTAAGGCGTTGTAGGCAAGTCATCTAACTTTTCTCTCTGATTAGTCACCCAGCCTAACTAACAGAACAAGACCTAATAAAATCCATTCTGCCTTCTGCAAAAGGTAGATGGTAAGGATGATCAAATGAGATGTGACAAGAGATACTGTGTAACCTATAAAACACAAATGGTATTCATCTAAGAGAATCAGAAGAGGCAATCTTCCAAATGAAGTCCTTATTATTTCCCCCCAAGACATACTCATATGTTAACAAATAACCATCTGCAGATAAGAAATGATGGGAAACTCAGCACAGATAGGAAGAAAGGTTGGTATACTATTGGACGCATATTTTTGAGCCTAACAGAACCTTGCAGCATTAATCAAAAGACAAGCTTAACTAAAAAATATTCACTTAACACAGATTTATGCATTAAATACTGAGCCTTAACAAGCTTTCTGCTGCATGATGCTAGCAATTCTTCCTAAACTTTATAATTAACACACTAAAATCTTGTAAGAGAAAAGATAATTCGATTAATACCTTATTCCAGCCGCTGGCATGAACTGTGGTCTCCAATGTGCATTCCCGAAATGCCTGATATGTCACTGGCCTGTAGAGATTTTTTAAAAAGTCTGTCATAATGAAGGAAAATTCTAAATTTCCACATTAAAAAATATATAGTCACTACACTTCGTTGAATTTTTTGCTAAAGTGACAATGATTATTCAACATATTACCTTGTTTAAGATGTGGCTTTTAACATTTGGCATGCATTTTTTTAAAGCAATTTATAGGCTAAGATGAATGCTTGGGAAAGCAGTTAAAATATAGTACAAGATAAATATATATTCTAATAAAATTTTTAGAATTGCTTGGAACTTATTTGATAAGATTTCTATGTTGCAGATAAATACCTAGATTATTAATTCAGGATAAAAAACAAATAAAAATGATCTTATTAGTAAAATTAAAAACACGATTTTAACTTTTTTAAAGGCAAAAAATCTAAAATATTTTAAAACTAAAGAGACGTGTCACTAAAGACTTTTCAAATTGAGGATACAGGGAGTTGGAATAAACAAGGATAATAAACAGAGTGCTATTTTTAACTTGGAGTATTATGAAATAAGATCCTGGAAGGGAGAGAGGCCTTTCTGATTATTTGCATGTAAGTCCTAGTCATACCAAAAACTCAAATCATTAAGTGATGCCAACACCACTCACTCACATATTTGTTGAGGGACTTTAAGTACTATATTTTAAGTGCTGGTTTTATGTGTAAATTAAAAAAACAAATTTACAAACTAGGTACCAAGTAACATATGAAACTTGAATAATAATAGATTAACAATAGATTTAACAAAACTGTTTCCCGCCCCCCTTTTTGGGCAAAGTATCAACAGACATGTAAAAAAGAGTAGGAGGAATCTTGCTTTTATAGAATTTTAAAATCCCATTCCATAAGCATTTTCTGCTCTGACCGCTCTGGTCTGTGATCTCTTTAGTTTATGAATATTTAAGATTGATAATGGGTACCTATTATGTTAGGTTTTATATTTTTATATATTCACATTTTATATTATATTATATATTATCATTTTACATATTAGGAAACCAAAGCTCAGAAAAGCTAAAAGATTATCCCAAAACCACATAGCTGGCAAGCTGTGAGGTAAGGGATTCACACCCTATTATATCTGGCTCTAAAGGCCACTACTTCCATTTCAAGTTAGGGTTTTCACATATGCCATGACAATGTTTGGGTGCCACATGTGGCTAATGAGCATTAGAAAGGTGGCTAGTGCTGTGCTGAAAGTGTAATGTACATGCGAGATTTCAGAGTTAGTAAGAAATAAAATATGAAATGTCTCATTAGTAAGTTTTATGTTGATTACATGTTAAAATATTTTGAATATACTGAGGTAAATACAACATATTACTATAAAAATTAATTTTATTTTACTTTTTTATGTGGCTGCTAGAAAATTTTTAATTATATATATGTGACTTGCATTATATGTATCGAACAGCACTGATCTAGATATTTCAGAAAACAGTTTTGGTGACATGTGTCATTCCTTTATACAAGTCAGTATCAAATCAATACTCCAGTGATGAGATACCAGAGATGACCTTTATAATGATGACATGTATATAGTATATACTACCTACCTTCCTGACATCAGATTCTTATTACAGTAAGCTTAGTATTTTTTAGAAGCCTTGGGATAAATAGTAGATGCCGATAAAACTTGAACTTCAGCAGATACTATACAGTCTACCTACCTATATTCTCCCTGAAGCTTTACTTGCGTATATCAGTCCCTTCACTTCCTTTCCTGAACTGTCTGGTGCTGCTGTGGGTCACAGTAGTCCTTACCGGAAGTTTGTCTATCAGGCTAAAGTACTTTAGCATCCTTTAGAATGAAACATGATTTGAAACATTATATGTACACACATATATGCCCATAAAAGATGCAGCAGATTAAAACAGTCAAAGGAAATCTAATACATAGAAAAGCAAGTAGCTGAAAAACCAACCCTACCCAGTTAGCTATCAGAATAAAGCAAAGAAAAAAGGGGAGTGGGATATCTTTTGAACTGCTGGTATTATTCTACATTAAGAATTCAGGATTAATATTCTACTTTAACAAAACCATATGGAGAAGTAGGTGGTATTTTCCACCTTAGGATATTGCCTTCAACCTGCATTATGCTTCTAGTTTATCAATTAATTATTTTTAAGGTATTAGTAACAAAGCTTAAAACTTTCAAAAGTAGATTTCTGAAAAAAAACTTATTCATAAAGAGACTTGACTTTGATACACAACCAATTTCAAAACTAATTATATTAGTATTCAGGGTTTAGGAAAAAATAAATATTCATCCAAGCCAATTTTTAAAAAAATATAATTTGCAGTAAGAAGGCATCAATTTTTCCTGTAGATCATGAAAAGGACTTCAGAAACAATACTTCTTTTTTAAACAATGTAATACTGTTCTTTAGAGAGCTGATAAGATGCCAGTAAAGTTAACTGAAATATTAAGGGTAAAATGGTTTGCCTAGAGCCACAGTTTGTATCAAAGTTGGAAATAGAACCTTTTGCCTATACCTCTCACTTAGTTATTTTACTTCCAGCCCCAATTGATTTTACAAGTTCTCTTGTCTTTGTTTTGACAAAGCAGCATGTTTCTTTCTTCAAATCTTATATATAATCTCAATACATAAAATATATGAAAGTACAGGTGCTCCGGTTTAGGAAGCGTGGAGAGGCCCTGGTGAGCCCACACACTCAGTCTGTCCCTCACCTATTCAGGGGCCTCTGCAGCACAGAACACTTTCTAAAAACGACTGCTATAAATCCAAATTTCCTGTACAAGTTTTATTTCCCCACTCTCATACCCTTCTTGCCACAGTTATTTTTAAAGTTTTCTATGTATAAGTTTAAGAAAGTCCAAATGTAATTTCATTTCACCAAGTGTAACTAGGATTTTTGCATTTGCACATTTTAGCACGCTATGCAGAACAAATGGAAGTCTCTAAACCCAAATTGCTTCCTTCTAACAAATGGGAAACTATAAACTTTGCCTACATGAAAGTGAGGCATTACTATAACAATAATTTGGCATCCGAATTTTGGCCTTTTTAGTGAAGAACAGTCTTCATCCTGTTTTACAAAGTTGTCAATTTTAATTAAGATAAATATTTTTTCTAATTCATACCAATTTTTTAAATGATTCTCAACAAATAATTAGGAGAAACTGATTTTTAAGATTTACAATAAATGATTCAGGTCTGGCCGGGCACAGTAGCTCACGCCTGTAATCCTAGCACTCTGGGAGGCTGAGGTGGGAGGATTGCTTGAGGACCAGCCTGAGCAAGAGCGAGACCCCGTCTCTACTATAAATAGAAAGAAATTAGCCAAACAACTAAAAATAGAAAAAATTAGCCAGGCACAGTGGCGTGTGCTTGTAGTCCCAGCTATCTGGGAAGATAAGGTAGAAGGATCATCTGAGCCCAGGAGTTTGAGGTTGCTGTGAGTTGGGCTGACGCCACCGCACTCTAGCCCAGGCAAGAGAGTGAGACTCTGTCTCAAAAAAAAAAGATTCAGTTCTATTTTAATATACTTTTGTTATTACTGGTTTCTTGCCTTTAGCTTTACTATGGTCAGAGCCATAGCTAGGAGACAAGTTTGCACTATAAGAATGTGGAGGCCAGGCGCAGTGGCTCACGCCTGTAATCCTAGCTCTCTGGGAGGCCAAGGCGGGCGGATTGTGCGAGGTGAGGAGTTAACCAGCCTGAGCAAGAGCGAGACCCCATCTCTATTATAAATAGAAAGAAATTAATTGGCCAACTAACATATATAGAAAAAATTAGCTGGGCATGGTGGTGCATGCCTGTAGTCTCAGCTACTCGGGAGGCTGAGGCAGGAGGATTGCTTGAGCCCAGGAGTTTGATGTTGCTGTGAACTTGGCTGATGCCAGGGCACTCTAGCCTAAGCAACAGAGTGAGACTCTGTCTCAAAAAAAAAAGAATGTGGAAGGTGGGCAGATGTGCAACCCCTAAGTTTAGCAGCATCTGCATTACAGATATAATGCTAAATACAGAAATCAAAAATACAAGCCGGGCGCGGTGGCTCACGCCTGTAATCCTAGCACTTTGGGAGGCTGAGGCGGGCGGATCGCTCAAGGTCAGGAGTTCGAAACCAGCCTGAGCGAGACCCCGTCTCTACCAAAAATAGAAAGAAATTAATTGACCAACTAAAAATATATATACAAAAAATTAGCCGGGCATGGTGGCGCATGCCTGTAGTCCCAGCTACTCGGGAGGCTGAGGCAGTAGGATCGCTGAGCCCAGGAGATTGAGGTTGCTGTGAGCCAGGCTTACGCTGGGCAATAAAGTGACACTCTGTCTCAAAAAAAAAAAAAAAAAAATACAGATACAATGTTAATCCCACATTACAAAGCATAAAGCGCTACCCATTATATTTATATTGGCCACTAGAGGAAATGGCAGTAAAAAGTGGTCAGGACAAGAGAAATAGTTTGTATTTACAATTTAGTAAAAGCATTTGTTGAAATGTGATAGCTCAACAAGTAAATACAAATTAACAAATCTATGCTGGAACAGCTAAAGAACTGCTTTGTAGCAAAGCTGTCATTGAAAACACAGACTACTCAAGAGGCAGAGGCAGGAGGATCACTTGAGCCCAGGAGTTTGAAGTTGCAGAGAGCTTTGATCCCACCACTGTGCTCCAGCCTGGGGGACACAGTAAGACCCTGTCTCTAATTTAAAAAAATTTTTAATTAAATAAATAAAAACCACAGGTAGAGAGTTGGGCACGATGGAGTGCATCTGTAATCCCAGAGATTTGGGAGGCTGAGGCTGGAGGATCGCTTGAGCCCAGGAGTTTGAGGCTGCAGTAAGCTACAATCTACTCCAGCCTGGGCGACAGAGCAAGACCCCATCTCTAAAAACAAACAAAAACAAGCCTTAACCAATCCAGTGCTACATGAGAAATCCAGAGACTACTTAGAGAAGTACATTTGTACTCAGAAATGTAACTCACTGGCTGAGGAGCATTTGCAATGCTTTATGCAGAGGCTCTTTAAGTTCCTGAGACACTTTTTCTCCAAGATGGGCCAAGCAGTCTTCTATTGAGCTTTCTGGGTTAGCAGGGCTGAACACTGGAGATGTGTGACGGTCAAAGCCTGTGCTGGTGAAGGCTGAAGACAGGGCAAAAGAAATGCCTAATTTAATAAACAATTTCAAAGGTTATGCTATAAAAGCCCAGGGGATTAAGACACCTACTATTATACAAACACAACGAGTGAGATGTGCAGCATTTGGGGGATGGTCACGCTTGAAGCTGACTCGAGGGGGGAGGGAGGCATGGGCAATATACGTAACCTTAACACTTATACCCCCATAATATGCTGAAATTAAAAAAAATTTTTTAAAGACACTTACTATAGTTATAAGCCACTTTAAAAGGTCAAATAATCATTATAGATATTATTCTTCACTGGAACACAAAAATTGGTTAAGTGTAGATTTTTTTTAAGGAAAGGTTTCAATGGAAAAAAAATCTTAGTTTCACAAGAAGAAAACAACAAAACTGCATGTTAAAATATGTTAACCAATTTAGTTTATTACTACTTATCCATTTAGCATAAGAATTTTGAATGAGAGGCAACTCTTGGCTCTATCTTCCCTCTCTTAATATTTTGTTTTTAGAGTTTTGTCTTTATAAAAGTGGCACTTCCTACATCAGACTCTAATTAGTTTATTCTACCTCAGAGGATGAATCCATTGCTTTCATTCCCTTATTAAAATGAACTTTCAAACTCAATATTACTTCACATGAACAAACTTTAAAACTCTCAAGGTTATACAAGTGTAAAAAGAGTTGAACCTGGACAAAGCAGCCATAACCTATTCCTTCCTCAGTTCAAACTACCATCTACTTCCCAGTCCCATGTTGTAAAGATGTCGCCACCCCCAACTGCAGAACGGGTAGGCAGCATGACTGCTGTTCCAGGGTACAAACAGGATGCTAGGCATAAAATCCCAGTAGAGCAGGCAGCCTGCACCCATTCCCAAGAGCTAGCAATCACCATTATAAAATATTTATTGCATTAATTTAGGCTTGTTCCTAGAAGGCTGCAAATTTTGCTACCGAATTAATATGTATTTCTTTCTAAAGTGCTTGGCTCCAAGAAAGATGCAAATGGCTGCAAAGTTCACAAACATTTTGTTGTCTGAGCAAATGTGAGGTCATCCATTTTAATAATCAGGGTTGTATAATACGGGATTCAATAAATCAGTGCACTTAAGCCTTTTGTTACTCTCGTCTGCCTTTTGCCTATTATTTTACTGTGCAGCAGTACTGTTACCAGAATATAGATAAAGGCTTAGAAGAGAATTGGAAATTTAATCAGTTAAAAATGTTGATAAAAGAGGCCAGGTGCGGTGGCTCACGCCTGTAATCCTAGCACTCTGGGAGGCCGAGGCGGGCGGATTGCTCGAGGTCAGGAGTTCGAAACCAGCCCGAGCAAGAGCGAGGCCCCATCTCTACTATAAAATAGAAAGAAATTAATTAGCCAACTAAAATATATAGAAAAAAATTAGCCGGACATGGTGGCGCATGCCTGTAGTCCCAGCAACTTGGGAGGCTGAAGCAGGAGGATCTCTTGAGCCCAGGAATTTGAGGTTGCTGTGAGCTAGGCTAATGCCACGGCACTCACTGTAGCCTGGGTAACAAAGTGAGACTCTGTCTCAAAAAAAAAGATGATGCATCTGCATGGACTAGATAAAAAAAAAAAAAAAAGATGATAAAAGACTATAAAAGAGAAGACTAACATTAGGTTTCTGGATTATTTGTACAATTCTATTCAATTTCTTTCTCCACTAATATGGAATTGTTCATAAAAATGATTTATAATTTTTTTCATTAAAAATTATTGGGCAATATATGTCCACACAGAAACTTGAACAAGAATTTTCATAGCAGCATTATAAATGACAGCCGAAAAGTAGAAACAACCAAACTGTCCATCAACTGATGAACAGATAAACAAAATGTGGCACATGCACACAATGGAATATTACCTGACTGTAAAAAGCAATGAAGTACTTAAACCTGCTGCAATATGGATGATCCTTGAAAATATAATGCTAAGTGAAAGAAGCCAGTCATAAAAGGCCACATAGTGTATTATTCTATTTGTGTATCTGTCCAGAACAGACAAATCCACAGAAGTAGAAAGTAGCTCAGTGGTTGTGTTGGGTGGGGGTGAGGCAGCGGCTAGCAGGAGTGGGAAGTGACTGCTGATACACATTGCATTTCTTTTTGGAGTGTTGAAAGTATTCTAAATTTAGATTGCGGTGATAGTTGTACAATTTTGTGAATTTATTAAAAACCACTGAACTAGATATTTTAAATGAGTGAATTTTATGGTATATGAAAGATACCTCAATAAAGCTGAAAAGAAATCACTGGGCAAAAGTTTCAGTGCAATGTTACTTATGGAAGGTAAAACATGAAATAACTCAAATGCTCCCCTCAATAATAAGGGAAAACTGTATAAATATTCATTCAATGAGTGAAATTTCATGCAATTAAGAGAATACCTATTTTAAAAGATTACTATATAATATTAAGTGCAAAATATGCGGCTATAAAGCTATATATACATTATAAATACAATTATCTATAGCATATGTGCATGCAAAAATGAAAGAAAATCTTTCTTACTTTTTTCCTTTAATGTTGTTATTAGTTATAAAGAACCAAACATGAATCAAACCATATTGAATGGAAAGGACTTTAACATGATCATTTAGTCCACTACTTAACACCAGGAATGGCAACATCAAAACTGTTAGGTATAGTTAGGAAACTTTTATAACCATGTCCCCCAGAAAAGAAAAAAGGCTCCCTTTTAGTTTCACCCTTATAATCTTACAGCAATGAAGATGTGTAATGTTCAGAACACCCCACCGTGAAAATCAAATTAAACCAACAGTAAACCACACCAAACAATCTGAAAATTAACTAGGAAAATAAGAACAGACCTTCAGAAATTTCTTTGTCCAGGGATTTTAGCTCTTCTTCAATTTCAGTTTTAACTTTTACTAAAACTTCTTGATCCAGAGATTGGGAAGCTACATCTAGTTGAACCCCTGAAACCAACAAAAAAGATTACTATTGAAAGAGGGAGGGAGAAACCACTAGAATAGAATACTTCTGACTTGACTTTTTAGTCAGAAAATGCAAAATCAAACCCCATCATATATCAAGGCTAGGAAGGATAGGAGATACTTTTTGCAATAATTAAGGGGAAAAAAAAACCCTTAGAAGTATTCTCTATTTAGAGTAAAGTCTGGTAAAAACAGAATAAATAGAATAAGCCTCTATCTTTCCAGATGTTTCTGCTAGGAAGGGAAAAAGAGTGCAACTTTCAGAAACACATTAACTAAACACGAGATTAGGAAAAGACTAGTATTAATATGTATAAGTCCTTTTTTTTTTGTATACAATGCATTCCTTGGAAAAAAAACATATGAAAACTGAATATGATAAAACCAAATAAAAGAATTCATGTTATTTTAGTGGTGGTGGACAATGTCCATTACCCTCACTTCAAATTATATGAACCTCTAATTTTTTTTTTTTTTTTTGAGACAGTGTCTCGCTTTGTTGCCTAGGCTAGAGTGAGTGCCGTGGCGTCAGCCTAGCTCACAGCAACCTCAATCTCCTGGGCTCAAGCAATCCTTCTGCCTCGTCCCAGTAGCTGGAACTACAGCATGTGCCACCATGCCGGCTAATTTTTTCTATGTATATTAGTTGGCCAATTAATTTCTTTCTATTTATAGTAGAGACGGGGTCTCACTCTTGCTCAGGTTGGTTTCGAACTCCTGACCTCGAGCTATCTGCCCGCCTCGGCCTCCAGAGAGCTAGGATTACAGGCGTGAGCCACCGCGCCCGGCCTGAACCTCTAATTTTATCTCACTTTTAGATGCTTTTTGAATTTTTAAAGTTATTTATTTATTTATTTATTTTGAGACAGAGTCTCGCTTTGTTGCCCAGGATAGAGTGAGTGCCGTGGCGTCAGCCTAGCTCACAGCAACCTCAAACTCCTGGGCTCAAGTGATCCTCCTGCCTCAGCCTCCCGAGTAGCTGGGACTACAGGCTTGTGCCACCATGCCCGGCCAATTTTTTCTATATATATTAGTTGGCCAATTAATTTCTTTCTACTTATAGTAGAGATGGCGTCTCAACTCTTGTTCAAGCTGGTTTCGAACTCCTGACCTTGAGCGATCCTCCCGCCTCGGCCTCTTAGAGTGCTAGGATTACAGGCATAAGCCACCACGCCCGGACTTTTTTATTTCTTTTTTTAGAGACATTTTGCTCTGTTGCCCAGGCTAGAGCGCAGTGGCATAATCATAGCTCACGTTATAGTAACATCAAACTCCTGGACTCAAGCAATCAATCATTATCCTGTTTCAGCCTCCTGAGCAGCTGGGACCATAGGTGCAACCACCACGTGTGGCTAATTTTTTATCTTTTTGTAGAGACAGGGTCTCATTATATTGCTCCAGCTGGTCCTGAACTCCTGGCCTCAAGCAATCCTCTTGCCTTAGCCTCCCAAAGTGCTGGGATTACAGCCATGAACTACCATGCCTGGCCTGGACACATTTTTAAATGATATACTTCTAACATTTTATATATGCTCTGTAATTCTCTCCCCTCCTCCATTTAAACACCTGATAGCTGCTTAAGTCCACAAAGCATACAACTGAGACTCAAGTTTCACCTCTTTGGGCATAATGATTTCTTTGTCTCCATCATATTAGATTTATAAGAGTTATGTTCATTATTAGTCTCTTATGCTTATTACTGATACTTCCATTTTTCTACTAATTTTTTTAAATGCAACAAATAGTTATATATCTGTGTAAGCAATATGTATAAAAAAAGAAGACACTGCTGAAGTCTGAAAGCAGTACCCCTGTCATTTGACAGTTGAGATTCAGACAAGTCAGTTTTAGCGATAACAATGCATAATAATAATTGCCAATATCACGTGCCAGGCACTACAGCAGGTACTTTGTATATACATATGTGTATGTATATATATACACACACATACATACATTAAATCCTCATGACAACTCTTTGAGATAGGTGTTATTATATTACTCTCATTTTGTAGGTGTGAAAACTGAGATACAGGGATGCACCCTGACCTAGGACGTACAAACAGCAGAGCTTAGATGCAAACCAAGTAGTCTAGTTACAAGGTCTGGGCTCTTAGCTATCACACAACACTGCCCCTCATCATGCTTGAAAGTGTGGGCTCTATAAAATCAAACACCCCAAAGTCCAGGACTGTCTCTATGATAAAGATCTAATCACAGTAGTTTTTAGGCTTTTTTGGATTAACCCCTTAGAGAATTTGAATAAAAGAATGGCCCCCTTTCCCAGAATGTTCAGCAAGCAATTTCAGGGCATTCATGGACTCTCTCAGGACCTTCCTAAGGACCTTGATTTAAAAACTTCACTAATTATCACCTAATTCTTCTTCCCCCTCCCTGCCTCCACATACCCATACACATTACATAATATAGTACTGTCTCACTAGGTTAATGTACCACCATTTTGTATTACTGGGTAACCTGACTTAATGCACAGTGGTCAAGGATCATCACTAAAGGGCTCCAGGGAGATCAAGAAGACTGATCAAGGCATGGAGGGGGAAAAACTAACAAAAAATTTATATCCAGAGAGAACATAAAAGAGACCAAAAAGTTTCTCTTTAACATTAAAAGTAAGCAAGTTTGGGCATATAGCATCATAGTTCCTTTTATAGCTATGAAAAGCTTATATAAGCATGGGTAACATAGTGAGACCCCACTCTCCACAAAAAACATTAAAAATAAAAAAATTAGCTGGGTGTGGTTGCATGTGCCTATAGTCCCAGCTACTCAGGAGGCTGAGGCAGGAGGATCACTAGAGTCCAGGAGCTTAAGGTTACAGTGGGCTATGACTGCACCACTGCACTTCAGCCTGGATGACAAAATGAGACCCCATCTCTAAAAAACATAATAATAATAAAATTAAAAAATAAAAAGCTTACATAAAAAGTTCAAGTTCTCACTATATTGTAATAATATTCTTTCCTGAAAAAATTAATTTTTCTTCTTCTTTCAAATGATTTCAGTATTGTATAGCAAAGATTTCCTTTTGAACAAGGAATTTTTAATAAAAAAAGTCAAACCAATTGACACATTCGGTAGAATCCACATTCCTGGGACATAAGCCAGATTCACAATCACATCAATAATCCTAGCTTGTTTTTTAGCCAAAGGCATTCAAGGAAGTCAGTATAATTCTGAGCCAATCTAGGAATCTGGCTTATTTCTGGGACTTAAATTCAAGCTTACCTGAACACCCAGAGTAACACCCAGCTGAACTGGATACTTAGTGACCAAATTTTAGTTGAAGAGTAATTCTTCATTTCCCTAAAGACTTGAGATAAATAATTATGAGTGACAATGAAGTCCCTACCTGGGTATAGTGGAGAAGCCCTGCGATCAACTATACTCCTCCTCTTTGCAAGAATCTCAGTAAAAGGAAAAGCAGTATAATTTGTGCCACAAAGTTGTGGATCTACCCTGCTATTAAATCATTCACTGGGAAAACATTTCCTGAGTACTTGCTATTTATTAGGTGTTGTCATGAGCATCTAGCACAAAAATGAGTAAGATTTGTCTAGTCACTGAAACTGTTGAGCTCTGGGGGAACTCAAGAGAGAGGAAAACAGTAACATTTAAAAGGTACCTGTTAATTAACAGGCACTATGGTAAACATTTCCTATGTGGTATTTTACTTAATTTCCATGTCAACTTTACGAGAGATAAAATAATAGTTCCATCAGAAGATTAGGAAACTATGGAAGAGCTGTAACTGGAACTCAGGTCAATCTGACTATGAAACTATTAATCTAGGCTGTGCCCCCTCCATCTTCTAGCTGGAAGGCTAGGAAGGAAATATCTCAGAAACATTTTTTTTAATTTTTTTTTTATTTCAGCATATTATGGGGGTACAGATTTTAGGGTTTCAATAAATGCCCATTTCCCCCCTCAGAAACATTTTTGACCTAATTAAATAGTAATGGATCTAGCACCTCTTGTATTATCCTGGATAGAGCTGGAGCCCATTCTAAGTGAAGTATCACAAGAATGGAAAAAGAAGCACCACATGTACTCACCATCAAATTGGTATTAATTATCAACACTTATGTGCACATATAGTACTAACATTCATCGGGGTTGGGCAGGTGGGGGGAGGGATGGGTATATACACACCTAATGGATGTAGTGCACACTGTCTATGGGATGGACATGTTTGAAGCTCTGACTCGGGCATGGCAAAGGCAATAAATGTAACCTAAATATCTGTGTCCCCGTTATATGTTGAAATAAAAAAAAACACAAAGTAATAGAGATTGGAAAGGTTGTCTACATCATTGATAACATCTGCTGACATTGACATTCATAGTGCCTTATTTAATCTTCACTTCATACAATCTGCAAGTCAAGAGAAGGCCTATTATTATCAACAGGTTTCTATATTCTCCAACTTAAGACAACTATGAATATACCCAGAAGTACTAGGCACAAGCTATCTTCACGGGATAAAAGAAAAAGGAAGGTCTTGATCTCTTGCACAGAATGGAGAACAAAGGTGAACAGTCTGAAGGAGAAAATCAGACCAGATAACTTGACAATTTACTACTTTCTCCTGCCTCAGATATTTGGAGCAGAGCTTCATCATCTAAAATACTGAATCCAGATATAAATGACATCCTTCTCATTCAGAATACATTTACAGACATATCCAGGACTTTTTCAGTTGTTCGCATCATTGTTTTCTACCACTGACAAATATCATACAGAGAGGGATTAGACATTTATATGTTTTCATTTTTTGTAAGCAAATTAAAGAATTCCAAATTCATGGATGGGCTCTGAATTAATTAATCCTATTAATGAAAGCCAAGAAACTTGATTATTCTATCATCTGTGGGTATTAAAAATACCTTTGAAAAACAAAACGTTAATAAACATTTCTATATATCACAGATTCTGATTAGTTTTCCACTTTTAAAGTTAACAAA